TTTTCATTTGCTGCCCTCGAGCCTCGCGTTCACTAAATGTCTCTGAAAACAATCAACAGTGGGTCGAAAACTCATGGATAATAAAATGTTTACGAACTTACTTTTTCCAGATTGAGCTTCGGTTTAGAATGTCCGTAGTAATTCATTTAACTTGCGATCGGAGAAGCAAATTATCTAAGGTGAGTATGTGGAATAAATGACAAGAATGAATTTTGTGTACAGTCATTAACACTGATCGCAAAAAGGCGTGGGGAGTTATTTCACCTGTCTAGGGACTTTTTGTTTCTTTCTGCGCAGGCCTGAGTGAAATCAGCTCTTCGCTAAGAAGATTTTGTAAGTGTGGGAACTTTTATTCCGCGAATTGATATTTCGCAGACTGCATGCAGATGTACGCTTAGAGAAAAAAATAATTCAGTTAAAAAAAGGCATCAAACTTTAAATCTTCAAACGAAATACATCGTCAGAGTAAGAAAGGACTAATACAACAAAAAAACGGAAATAGAAAATTTGTTTTTGATTCTTTCTCTGAGTTTTAGAAAACAGATCGTCTGGACAATATAAATTTATTTCGCATGTTGGAACCTGAACTGCTCGGGGAAAACTAGGGCAGATAATTATAAGGCCGTGCCAAAATATCTTGAATATTAAAACGCGCCAAATGGATGTCAACTCAATTACAAGTATTTTTCGGTTTTAATCATTTCAGGGAGAGTGTAGAAAAGCGATGCAATGTGGCTAATAATAAATGTGATATCATTTTCTATGAAAGGTATATAAAAGACATGTAAGATTAATTTCACCCTTTCTGTCAAAAAGTGGTATACTAAGTTTTGTCAAGTTACTTCAGATGGTAAGAGTCACTGGGAAGAAATATTCAACCTATCGCTTCATGATCCTATTGTAGGGTAGAGGCCTCAGAAATAAACGGGTTTTGGGCGAGTAATGGCTTTGTTCGTTTAATGTTGGGTTCATTCGCGTACTTTATTTATCCAAAATTATAAACAAGAATGAAGACAAAGAAGGAGAGGAACTTTTAAAAAGCATGCCGAGGTTTCGCCGTCGTTGATGATGAGAAAATGATTGACCTATATCTACGCGAGATTTAATCCTTTACAATTTGAAAAACACTGTTGCAGTTATCGACTTCAGTTGCTGTTACAATATCATGATGTCGCTCAAACAAACAAACATTCGGATATGTCTTGTCGCATGATGTAGTGGAAAAGTTTCTGTCGTATTTTGACGTTTTAAAGCCTTTAAAAATCGACGATGCGTACATTGGTTTACTGGCCGACCGGGCTGGTGTTAATGTTACCCACAATGAAGAATTCAGCATACATGAAAACAGCTGTGAATTCAGAGAAACTACTCTAGTGCAGCACCCAACCAGAGAAGATTGTGCTATAAAGCTTTACCATAAAATTATTGGATGGGTTAAACAAGTGCATTGATATAGACTCGATTACCAGTACGTTACGTAAAAGGAAAATGAGCCCTTATTCGTTAGGAATCCGGGCTCGAGAGAACAGTGGAAATTGAATGGCTTCTAGCTAATGGAATGATTGACTCAGAAAACACGCTGTATTATTACAAGAAGCGCAATCGAAAGTTTATGAGAACTAGAAAAAGACATGTAGACACTCGCTAGGCGTATAGCTCTTGTTCCCAAAGTATTTCTCGTTCTCCCAAACTTCCACTAGTCGGTGTTTCTGCCACTCGATTACTCGATAAAAATACAAGACTGAAATGGTTTTATTTAAAATATAGGACTTACTGAAATTATTATACGGAAAAATGAAGAATTTGCTCGAGTCGTGTTGAGAATGTGGTTGGAAAACTTTAACGTTTCTGTAAAAAAAAAAATTTAAGCTGAAAATTGAACATTTTTGAACTTGTTCAACCGCCTTTGTACGTGTAGACAAGATAGGATGTAACTCATGAAAGAAGAGACTTTCAATGGAATTACGTATCAAAGGAGAACAACATGGAATTAGAACTAACCGAAACCTAGCATTGCTTATCAAAAGCTCTAGTGTTGATAGTTTTAAGACTTACCTTTATGTGAAATAAAAGTGGAAATCAGGAATTGCCAGTGACCGTAAAATGAATTACTGTGTAGGTGTTTTGCACCATGTTAACACCTGCTTTAAGAACAATGCCTTTGTAATAGAAAATGTAACTTAAATTCTAAAGGTGTAAAAAGTAACTTTCTGTTTGCTTATATGACCTTACGTAAGTCAAAAGGAGTAGTCGAACAACTGTGATTCGCTACGAGACTGGCAAGTCAGAATTACGTGCGATGGCCGCTGCTGTTGAACACAATTCCTTGAAGCGCCTCTAGTCTTGCTTAGCTAGCAAATACAACTACTAATTGAGATCCAGGAATTCTTCTACATTGCTTTTACATCTGTTACATTGTAAGAATAGAGGTTTTTAGTGTTCGCTAATCCCATGCCCATTTGAACGATGATTAAGGTTTACACTACTCGTGATATTTGAAAATTCTTTCCAGTTTTGAGATAATTTTCAAATATCACTTATATGTAAAATCCTCATTGCACTCCCTTTCATAAGTTACCTATGCAAATTACTGATCAATCAAGTACACAGCATATCAATGTGAGCCAGTTTAATTTTTTTTCAATATCGTATAGTATTACATTGAAGTATTCAACTGACACTAACTGGTATGATACAATTTACTGTGGGGGGACACGAGGCTTGTAGCAATCTGCAGTACAACCGTAATAGTTGTTCCTGCATTTCCAAAAACACTGAAAGTTGTTATTTCCACTGTTCATACAGTCATTCACACATTTGATGTGGTTTTTGTTGCAGCCGTCATAGCGGGCTTGGTTTTCAGCGGCGAAACTCGCAGCTAAGAGAAGGCAACAGAGGAAAACGATCAATGCGGACTTCATCTGTGTTACTGAAAAATAAAACACCAAGATATAATTAAAAAATTAAGGTGCCAAGGAAATGGAAAATAATTCCTGCTCATTTGAAAGGTTTTTCAAAATAAAGAAGAATTGTGTTTTCCTTTTTGGAACATCTTCTTTCGTTTTAGAAATATTGACGTTTTTATATTATGCAAATTAGGAAAGTGATGACGTCAGAAGTAATGCAACTAAAACAGTAAAATAATGAATCAAGAATATCTCTAGAAATATTGGGGCGGTGTTCTTCACACTTGGCACCAGAAATGTACATCACAAAAGAAACAAAATGACATCCGTTGCGCTGTTGCCATGACAACAGTTTTGCCGCTGGTTCTGTCTAATTAAGACTGACATTCCTAGTTTTTGTGTTCACCGAGGATCATCGACTCCCAACAATCTAATGAGGAGAGTTCAGACAATGTGGGAACCATGTCTGTTGCGAGCAGGACCCTCTGTCGCGCATTAAAGGTTGCAAAGGAATGGAAACCTGGTTTCTTAAAGAAATTATTAAATGCGGATTTAGTCAAAAGTTTCAAAAAAGAAACTGTCATTAACCGGGTGAAAGTTATTGGTACATGTCAAAATTGACTGAATATGCGTTGATCTTGCATGGGCGTAGCCAGGATTTTTCAAAGGGGGCGGGGGGCCACACATGTCACACTGTGTTAAAGAGAGAGTACTCACCAATTTGTCGTGTCGTTTTTGCCCCCTGCTGTAGGTTGTTTGCTTAAAAAAGACTTACAAAAGGGGGGGGGGGGGTCACGGGCACCCCAGGACCCCCCTAGCTACGTCCCTGACTCAATGACTTACCTTATTATACTCGGTATGGCTTGCCGACTTGTCGTCTCAGCTGATCTGTATGAAAAACGAGAAAGATTGAGTCGTACAGTGATCATGTTAATTACAAAAATATTACTCAAACAACAGGTTAAAACTGATCATTGAAAAACAGACCCCGAAAATCCGACTGATCTATATCCGGAATCTAACAATTACTTCACTGCGCCACCTTCAACTTATTTAGTCTTAAATATCGGAAATTTCGACTGAGAAAATGAGAACACTTATTTGGTTCCCCCTAAAGTATGTATATACAGGAAATTCCTGAAAAACGTCTTTGTTCCACCTTTTTAAAAAGTGCTTTTTCCTGCAATTTTCACTGGCGCGAACACAAAATGCGTTCCCCATTTTTCCCGAAACGAAATTTCCAGAATTTCACTAAATAGAGAGGGACTTAATTTATAGAAAGGTTAAAACAATAAAAAAACTGAAGTATTGTAAGTATTTCCGACCAAAGATCTGCATAACCCCAGCAATCTTTCTACATCAATTGAGCTTTGACTTACCCTTGATCTCTTTGAACTTGTGATGAAAAGTGGAAACAAATTTCACCCCATATATATTGCTTAAGTTTGCGTCTAAATAAACATTTTAACGCCGTATTATTTTTGTCAAAAACCCGCCTACATTGGTAGAATTCAAATTGAATAAAGGTTCACTTAACCTTACACAATCATACAGCCAGGTTTGTCAAATTTATTTTACTTTTTTCCACCTCAGTTATACACATCGCTGCCGTTGTACTAACAGTTTGATATTACAGCATCTAACTGATATATGTGGAATGTTGCAGAGTTTAGAATGGGCGGGGAATTTCATATCTCAGGACAAAAATTGTATATAGATTTTCGGCAAATCAAAACATTACTACTTCACAAAGAAATCTGACTACTCTGTAACGAGTTTACCAATTTCAACGCTGTTTCAATCTCTAGCAAGCTAACAAAACATGTATAACCACAATAACACGTACATTGACTGCTTTATCTTACATTGTAATCATCTGCTACAAAAGTTGACTTAAGCCGATCAAATGATTCTTTGATTTTTTTTACATCTGAAAGGTTTAAGTAGCAATTCTAATGAACGAAGGTGTGGTTTGTATAAAGGCTGTATGTACAGCTGATACCAGATATTTGGCTTCATTACTGTTTGTATTTGCGACCAAGAGCCGAACCATGACAATCCACTGTCGGGCATACACCTTGTGCATAATGAGAAGACAAACTTTGTAAAGAAAGTGGCAGTCTTTGATGAAAGCCTGTGAATGCAAACGGTGTTACGCATTAATTATTGGTTTGTGTTACGTTCAAGGGTATTCGAAGTGTCAAAGAAGGCTTCTTCTCTTTATCTTTCTTTTCTTTTGATCTGAGGAATCAAGAAAAAAACCTCAGACTCGTTCAAATCGGGGGGAGGGGGGAGCACTCTAGAACGGTACTCTCGTTTGAGTATGTTCTTTTATTACTCTTTCTTGTCTGACTTTAGATATACTTAGGGCGGACATGTTATGCTGGGACATTTCACATGTAATACTCATCAGACAAAGAAGACGTCACTGGAGTTGATGAAACAGAATCAAACTCGCGTCAACAACTAGGTTGCAAATAGCGCCGAAAGGCCCTGTAATCACACGCTTTTCTAAAACAGGATAACCCAAATTTTCAGTTAAGTCTGAAGTAGGGTGAATATTGATAAAGTTTGGTCGAAGATTGAGAAGGTTTTTGTGATTTGAGTGCCGAATTTCTCTTACTCTACTACGAGACATGTATGTGAGGTCATCCTTGCATCGTGTACGATTAATGTCCCTTGGCAGTGATCATTGATGCACACGAATATAGTAAAATGCATCATGTTACTTAAATCAAAGAAGTAAAGAGGTGATAGACTTAGAAGACAGATGTTTCTCTGGCTAAACATTGCCATGTCAATAATGTTGCCAGTATGCTTGCACATTTGGACATGGAAAAAATGCTTGAGCATTAGTAATGTCGGTTTGTTCCTTTTTGCATGCATTGTAGACTTTTGTACTAACAAAAAAAGAAGTAAAGCCTTGTAAGTCTAACCATCAGTCTCATATTTTTCAGTGTGTTTCACTCCGGTTTCTGTCGCATGTAGTGGCTAACAGTCGTAAGATTATTGCTACTTTCCCTGCAAAAAAGTAGTGCCCATGACAGCCCGGAGAGGGATTTAGTTAGCATTTTTGTAGCAAAGATTCTACAAAATGTCGGCAGCACAAAATCACATGGGCTGAGCTGCACACATGCTAGGTATATATCGTCTTCTTGATCTCACTCTAGATGAAATACTTCCTATGCCATATATGGAAAGTTCAAGAGTCACAATGGCAAATCAAAAAATATTCAGTACAGATTTGTTGTTGTCTTTTGATGTTGCTGCAAAGGTATAGAGACGTTTACGTGTATTGTTCTACTGTTACATCTCGAGGATGGAGGGGTCTAGATGGGGGTCTAGGAGGGGAGGGGGTCAACGTTTTGTACTGTGCTTTCCCCTGGATGGGATGCTAATCCATGGCAACTTTACCCCAAATAGCCAATACGATTTACACACCTGGCTTGAAAGAGGCAATGTGATGGAACACTGTCTTCCTCAAGAAAGCTAACAGTGACACAGGCCTTGGCTCAATCCTGGACCATTTAATCTGGAGTCTATTGCAATTACCAACTGCTAAGTACTAAACAATAAATGGTAATATACCAACTGGTGAATATTGTTTTTCATGCATTCTGATTGGTTACTTGGTCTGGGGATAGTGTGTGCTATCCAGACCTCCTAGCTAGAGAGTTGTAACTAATATGGTTTCTTGGTTTCCTACTGTAACAGAACAAGAAATTTTAACAGTTTATAAAAGCAGTTGTCCAACTAACGCAAAGAAAATTCAGTTTGGCAGTGTTAACCAATGTCGGTGGTTAGTTGTGGATCAGTATTTTACCCACTGCCTCATGGCTTGGCAAATATCCACTACTAGCCACCTATACTGCAGCAAATAATTGTTAACTAATGATGTCACTGCTTGCAGTCTAATAAACCTTAAAAAACACCCGAAAAACACCTAGATGTCACTCTTCTTTTCACACATTTTATTAGAATGCAGCATAGTACATGCTCTTGTAATCCATGAATACCACAAAATGACAAAAATAAACCACAGCACTTTTACTTACACAACACATGTTTGTTATAAACTGAAAAATTATGATTATTCAATCTAATAATAAATTAACTATCAATGATGTCCTAAAAATGCCCCAACTTTACACCTACAATATTATATAGGAGTTTATATAAAAGCCTGTACATTTAGTATTTAATCACAGCAAGACTGGTATGTGACCCAGGGGGAGGAGTATTCCCTATAATGCCTAATATATGGTGGCTCTGCCCAAGAGGGGTGCATTTTTCAGGCTTCCGGTATATGAAAGGGTAGGGATTTTAAAAGTTGAGGTCTGTGAAAGGGTAGTAAAATCTGTCATTTAGGTACAATGTAAACAAATGATACTTGTTCTTTGGTTAACATCTCTTCTAGTAATACTTCATGTTCGTCCATAATATTGTTCATTAACTTCATTCCAACGGTTTAGAAAAGGGATGCAGTGTCCTTAAGTAGGTATGTGAAAAGGGTACCTTTTTCTATCAAAGATAAAAGAAAGGGGCACCTTTTCTGTCAAAAAGGTGTACAAAAGGGTAAGGAGTTTGACCTCAGGGCAGAGCCTCCCCATAGAAAGCTTTGTAGAATACTTACCCCCCTCTTCCAGGGTAAGCGAACGATCATATAAAACAATCAACAATATCAGAAGCTGGTGAAGCTGCTGTCTGGTTTGTACAGTCAATAACAAGAAAGATCTCAACATGTCCTGTTATCAATTAGACATAACTATAGGAAAACTGGAGCAAAAACATTTAACATTTTGGTGAATAACAAACACATGAGGCCTAGCACCCATTGTAACACAAATTGTCTTGTGGCAAATCAAGGGCACAGCTTATTTGCAAGAACAAGCTAACTTCAGCGATAATGATGAAATCTACTAAATAATTATTATGACCCTTTCCCCTTTTCTCCCAAGGGTAACCTCAAGACATCTGGTATGAGCAGGTTGCTGTACAGGATGATCAGCCCATGTACCCATGTGTACATATACTTATGTGGCCAAACTGTTTTCTTAATTCACAAGTTTACTGGCCAGCATTTTTCAGGATGAAGGACATACCAGCAATGTGATACTCTTCCAATGGCATTAGTCATCATAACAATAAGAAACTCTTGTACAGGTTTCTTCCAACCACTTCATCAACTTATGTCTTTCATGAGATACCAAACTCACCAAAGGATGTACAGATATCAACCAAGAGGAAAGTCGAAATTAAAATTAAAATGTTGTATGATTTGTTCCTGGAAAAATGGTTGCCTTAGTATAGCTGATCCTTATCAATGATAAATAATACATGTACAGCTGTATGTATAAAACAAAAATCAAAACCACCAACTTTTAACTGTTAAAAAGTTAGACAAGCTTTATAAATATATATTAACGACTTCCAGGTGATTTTTGGTAGCAATATCAACTGGAAAAAAAAGGTACAACAAAAGTTTAATTTCTTTCATTTAAACTCTTCACATTCCCTAAATAATTTATCAATAATGTTTAATTTTTTGTTGTACATGATTTTGATATAAATGTACGATAAAATCTTTCAATGTTACACTTGTAATATTAGAATGAATATCTTGGAAAACTACAGCTTTGCAGTTTTGCAATGAAATAGAAAAAACTATGGCCACCATGTAACTTAAAAATACATTGAACATACTTACATTTAAAGCCTTTAAAAACCTCACCTGCTGCTTAGGTGGAAAAAAAAAAGCTGAATTCCCCTAAAGTCACTTCTTTTCTTTGTATAATTTGGACTAACTACAACTAATTTATTCCAAAAGAATGTTAAGCATTTCCTATTTCTTAAATCTTAATGCCATATTTCACACGCATGCAAAAACAAAAGTTAATACAAAATTTATAACTTCAATCAGTCTTACAAACAATGACAGGCTTCAAAATGACGCCTCAAGGTAACCTTCTTCTTGTACACGCAGCTCCACTGCTGATGTTTTTAAACTAAGTCTTTTGACTGTCTCGTAACCCAGTACCATTACAATACTTGAGGGTACCATGGAAAGTATTCTGGCTGACAATCCTTTTGTTAACCCCTTGGGTCCTTCCTCCTTCAAAAGTGTCCGAAACATCTGTAGGACGAATGTTGATTTTCCTCCACCGACCTTCAAAGTAAAAAGACTTCAGTTATCTCAGAAAGGAATATAATATCGGTACATGTAATTACATTGTAAAGAATCCTGCAAGTATTAATGTTATGGTTATAGACTGATGGATGCTTATGAAGAAATGGGAAGCAGCTTCATGACAAACAAACCTTTAGGCTCAGATACAAAGTGCAACATGGAGGTATACTTACAACTTATTAACTGAGAGTCAAGTCTTTATAGGAAAATCTCAAACCGAGACCATGCCGTATTGACTGAGAGATAGTGAGGTCAATATGGCAAAGTTGAGGTTTGAGATTTTCCTGTTAAGACCAAATGTTCAGGGTTAGGTAAAGTCTGCATATGAGCCAAGTGGCTCATCAGGCTGGAGCTTGTCCGGGTTTCAGTAGCAGGAAGCGACTAGGAGTATTTCTACTCCCCCCTAGATGGGATACTAGTCCATTGCAGGTTTACCCCCTAGCATTAAATTCGCCCGTACCCATTCATACACCTGGGTGGAGAGAGTCACTGTGAGAGCAAAGTGTCTTGTTCAAGAACATAACACAATGTCCCCAACCAGGGCTCGAACCTGGACAGCTCGCTCCAGAGAGGAGTGCACTAACCATGAGGCCACCACGCCTCCCACACCACGTTTAGGGTTCATAAGTTGTTTATTATGTGGCTTTTTGCTCTGTCTTTGCAGGCCTGCAATCAGCCCGTGGGTATTATGGGAGAATAATGCCCTAAGGAGGCAGTGTCACCAAGTGGTTAGAGCGCCGGATTTGAAATCCGTAGGTCCCGGGTTCAAATCCCATTCTGACCATTAGCTGATGCTGTTCTCGGTAGCTCCAAGTTCAACTTCTTGGCTACGCTTGTAAATAGCCAACTGGTCTGCCTCGCACCAGTTGGGATTCTTAACCTAGTTTATATGTCTATTTGAATATTTATTTATCGTTGTTTGTTTATATTGATCTTGAAAAGCCCCAATGGGGAGTGGCCAATTAAGTATACATACATAATTAGATACGCAAGAGATGATAATTTCTTTGTTCTTGTCACCTGTTTTTTGTTAAATGCATTCGTCTTGTAATGAGAAATTACATTTCCATCAGTCATGGAACTTAAAAGGTCAAAAAGCATTATAACTGCACCACCTCCATAATGGCCACCTCTCTATAATGGATGAGAGTTTTTCATCCCAATAGGGTTATTAACCCGAAAACACTGACCCCTGGTCTGTGGACCCCCACTATGGACTGTATTCACGGACTACCCTAAGAACTGGTCCACAGACTACCCCTTCAGACCCCCTCTAAGGACCACCTCAAAAATAGAATAAAAGTACAACTATAATAAATAAAGATTGCACCCATGGGCTGTCTAATAGATCACTTGTGTCAGCAAAATTTTGAACATTACCTTGTGCAAATGTACATGTAGCAGACTTAGGTTCAGGCTTGGGTGTAAGTCATATCATTACACATTTCCATTTCCTTTGCTGTGGCTATGTTTGAAATACCAGAAGGCCTCAAAATTTGTGCTCTGTCCCCTCCGCCATTTTGTTTGGCCCACTCTCCTGCAAGTTCGTGAACTCATCCCAGGCTTTACAATTTGCTTAGCAGAATTACAAGTACAAACAAGCTAAAAGGACCTAAAAACACATCTTTTATAGTCTGTAACATCTGTGTAATGCTCAATATTTCACTGAAATGAGTGATCTATTAGACAACCTGTAATTGAAATCCTTATTTATTAACTTTATTCTATTTTGGGGGTGGTCCATAGAGGGGTCCCATAGGGGTAGTCCGTGGACCAGTCCGTAGGATAGTCCATGGACCTTGTCCATAGTAGGGGTACGTGGACTGGGGTCAGTGTTTTCGGTTACCCTCCCAGAAGATGCTTATCATAACAAAGGTCAACTATCTCCAGTGCCCAGGTAAGGCTGTTGTAAAGAGGTTCACCTGTTGTCAAACGTCTGGCCCTCACTCATGACAGATACCATCCGCATTTGACGATACAATAGAGCATTTCACAATAACGTGGTTATGCAAGGCAGGGAAGAAGACGATGTTTAAGTTTCAAATTAATTTGAACAAAAAAAGCACAGAGAACAACAACAACTAACCTGCAAACGAGTTCTCATTATATCCAATGGATTTGTTGTGGTTGCAGTCGTGAGGCCAGCCATAGAACCAGCTATGGCTAAGACAAGCATATGAGGTGTTCCTGATAGCACTATATTCCCCACCAGTCCTGTGTACATACCATACGAGGACCACCAAATAGCACTACTAGGTGCATAAGTCATAAGAGAGATCAAGTACCCTCTGTAGAGCCCAAGGGGTCCATTAGATTTTACAATTTCTCTTATGATAGTCGAGGCTCCTTTTAATTTCGCGGTGTTTTCTCCCTGGCCCTGAACCATCATTTTCTGAGACACAACATCTACTGGAACTGTAATAGTTTGTCCTACTAACGAAGCACAACCACCAGCCAGGAATCCTCTTACAGCATTGTTGTAGTCTTTCGTTCTTGTACGAATCAGTTCTAATGTTGTGATGTAACATTGTCCGGACAGAAGACCGAAGCTGCTCACGAGAAATCCTTTGTAAAGCCCTCGTAAACCTTCAAAGCGTATCACTTTAACAAAAGCATCGAATGATCCTTTATAAAGTGCGTTCTTCCGCTGTACTTGAAGACGAGTTTTTACCAGGTTCGCTGGATACAATAACGCCCGAATTCCCAGGAACAATGTCGGACCGAAGAAATAAAACTTGCTTTTATCCATTTCCTCCCATTCGATGTGTCTAACTTGTTCTGGCATTTTCAAACTGTTTTGCTGACTATTTATACCGTCGTACGTGTAATCAAGCAAACGGTTAAGCAACACGTAGCTGGTATTTTCTGTGTTTACGGAAAAGAACAAGAAAAAGCGACCGCCATTTTGAATTGTTTCTTTGGTCAGCGGAAGTTGTGTCTCCCTATCACGTGAAAGCCGGTCGGTTTGCACGTGTCTGGAACCCAGGGCCATGTTCATTCTCCACCGCTCAGTTCATGAGCTAAGATCAGGGGCTGGCTAAGATGGACTAAAGAATAGATGTGCTGACTTTTTCATGGTGAAACTGGACACAAATCTTGTAATTTCATATAGCTGAACCGGTTCGGCATAATAATACCCCACGAAACAGGGCGAGAAAGGGTGCGAGTTGGAACGGTGCGACACGCGTGTCTGCCCCCTGCGCGCATGTCCTCGCTCTCGTGAGCCCCTTCATATTTGCTCCCAATCGTCACTCGAGCGTCTGCCACAAAGGCTAGGATAACAAGAAAATAAAAGAGATCGCACGGCTTTGTGTGCTTCTTCTTTTATTTCATGATCTAGAGTACAAGCCACCTACATACTAAGCTGTTCCATTGATGGTGGTGTTAAATAATTGTTTTTAAATTCTATTTTGATTCCTAGTTCGTTTAGTCTTACGCAAAGCTTGCTTGCTTGCTCGAGCTTGTTATCACACGCGTTGCGTTGATGTTTGCTTAAAGAAAGAAGTTTGTGCAAGGACCACTTTCTCTGTTTCTAGAACGTCCAAATTTGCGGGATGATTACATCATTGATCCATTTTCAAGAGAATTTCTATTTCTCAGGATTTTCTCCCACAGCAAGTTATCCTAGATGGCTGGGATGTAGTAGCGTCCCCGAATTGTAAGTGCTCTCCTTCCGGCTGAGTTTTTCCTAACCTGCGGTCAGGTGTTTTTGTTGTTTTTCTTTAATATTTTTGAGGGAGAGAACTGAAAGATATGAAGGAGGAGGGAAGGAGGCGGACCACGTTTATCTTCTGCGCGGGAAAACACAGGTGACCATGACTAGCCTGCGTATGCGGAGACTAAGTCCGGCGCGCAGGCAACTCTTAGTCTCTTACGCAGCCATTATATGGGAAGAATGTTGCGTGACAACTCAAAAAAGACCCAAACAACGGTAGAGTAAGAGACTATGCCAAACAGGGATTGGTTTTGATTTTGCATCTGATTGGTTGGGCAGCTGGTGTGAATTTTTTAAACTGAACCAGTTACAGGAGTAAAGTCAAAGTAATTCCGGACAACGTTCGGCATTCAATTAAAAAAGCAATTCAAGAGGACTGAAAAACAAGATTCCTTTATTGCATAATACTACAAAAATAACCGTCAGTTGAATCGATTTTCCATACTTAGCCGAACACACTTTCTAGTCAAATACTGGTAAAATACTACACCCAAATTAGTGTCAAAATACTATTTTGGGTGAAGTATTTCACAAGCCGAGGAGTCGCAGTGTCCAAGTTTGAGCCCAGGCTACATGGGCTCATTGTGTTGTGTTCTTAGGTAATAAAGACACTTTAATAGTCCTTTTCTTCATCCAAGTGTATGAAAAATCAGGATAAGGGCGATTGGCATCTCAACTAACTTATTTGTTTCCCAGTCGCTTAATGCTAAGGAAACCTGGATAGGCTCCGGTTGCATAGATAACTTGGTCCGATGCAGACTTTACCTTACCTTATTTCACAAGCTGGAAATCAGACTAGCAATTTATCATTAAAATGAAGTAAAATGTACAAAAAAGAACTATTTGCCTCCTTTCTAATACCTAAGATTTACGTGTGAGGTAAAGCTTTGATTAAACTGTACTGAGACTAAAATGCCTATATTATGAGGAAAAAGATACCGAATATATAGGAGATATCAACATCACAATTCACAAATCACTCGCGTGATATTGTAAATACTAATTCTTTATAAACGAACAACTGCAAAAAGTGCGCATGCCAGCAAAGTGAATGCGCTGACCACAAAATTGGAGCCAGCATTACACATGTCCCCTTCACAACAGGTCATGTCGCAAGAACTGTCGTCATCTGCTGCGCATGTCTGGTAGAAGAAATGGGCGTCTTTGTTATCGCATTGGCTCTTTGTAGCACACCCTTTACTGTATGTCGTTAACTCGACGTTAACTTCTTTGTGGGTGACTTCAGTGGATACCTTGTAGCAGCGATCGTCAACATTGGGACATACTTTGGGTGTGGCTGCGTCACACTCTGCCATTGATGCGCATTCGTAGCACTTTCTGGGCTTATGAGCTGGAAAAGGACGAAATAAATAAGATTTGCTGATCACTATAAATGAACATATTGAAGTTCACATTGTAGGGATTTAATACGGCGTCTTGTCAACCCGCCCACTTGCGGTGACTTAATGGTTATATTTAGTGCATTGTACTCTGCATAAAGTTTGAGAAACTTAATAGAGGGGAATGGTTATCAAGCCCGAAAAACTTCTTTGTTGTATGTTTTTGTTCACTTTTTTGGCCTTGACCGTGCACAAAGCAGAATAGCTGTTCACTACTGACTGAGGAACTAATCAATAGAAACGTTTCGGTTACGTAATTCGGTTTACGTTATCCATCTCATGATGGGTGTATTGGGGGAAAGGAGACCTCTGGGAATCTGTTGATTCTCCGGGGAGGATTAAGGGAGGAGGGCAGTGGTTGATTGGGTGGCTAGCAACCCCTCTTTCGAAGAAGCAAAAAAATGAAGAAATTGAAATAAATTGTGAATATTGTAGCAGAAATGAAGGGAAACACTCTGGACAATTACCTCATTGTAATTTCTTCTTTATGGTATTGCTTGCATTTGTGGTGTAACAATTTCAGTTAGGTTCCAATTCGCATATCAAAACAATTTGGAATTTGGGGGCATGCCCCATTGATTCTTCAGCCCCAAGGTATCATTCACCCCTCCACGCCCTCTATGAAAAATCTTTGATCCACCCGCCCTGATTCCTGATGTAAGTAAGCAATCGCACATACACACAAGAATAATCCAGTGTCAATCTCAGGATTGGATCTGGAACCTACCTTTAGGATACGGTGTGACGCAATTATTTCCACTGCAGCACGTGGCGTTACAAGTGATTTGCGAACCGTCTTTCGTGACTTCAGTACAGAGAGCTGCTGCAGCGTCACAGTCTTGAGGCTTGGCACACCCAAACATAAAATGCATGCTCTCGGCACTGTTTAACACCAGGGATGCACAACTGGTGAATCCTGTAAGACATGTCTCTTTTGCTGCTCCACTGTTACATTCTGTTGAATCTCCAGAGCATTTATAGCACTGAAGACAGGATCCTTTGGACAGGAAAAAAAAATTGTTATATATTTGGAGATCTCAAAGACGGTCTACTAAAAGGGAACAATCCAGTTTTGACTTTGCCGACAGAGAATGAAGGCAACATCGGAAAACTAACAGGTTATTGAGCAGGCAAAAAGATTACAGCTTGAATATTTAGTTTGAAAATTATTTCATAGCCAGGTTATCGGAGAAAATAATTTTGAAACGCCACCAATTTTACTACAAAATGGTGGCGGTACAGTCGCTGGACTCCGGCCCTATAGGGCCTAGGGCTGGAAGGGAAGAGTGTTGGGATTGGATTGAACCACAGAAAGAAAAGGCCTGAGGACGAGTTGAATTTGTTCTCAGGCCCTTCTGTTCTGTTTGCGGGGGAACTCAACCATAGCTTGTTGTTCATACTATTGGAGCTTACAAGTGCTGTAAAAGTACTACACGTTTGTTTAAACGAAATGAAAAAGAATACTGCATCATTTCTTTTATAGTATATAAAACGATTGCGGTCTACATTTGTACAGTTCTGGTGCTGGTAAGAACCGAACCTTGGAAAACCTGTATGTTCCACCATGCAGTGCTTTCTATTCAATGTATTCGAGTTATGCAAATCTGAAACTTATAAGTCGTAGTTAAGTCTTTGTTCAACACGGCTTCTTGTTGCTTAATAAAAAATTTTGGCATAAAATATTTTTCCTCGGTAATCGACATTTTACTCATTGCCTGTCGCCACAAACTAAACTTAACCGAACATTACCGATGAGCGGGCTGAATTTTACGATGTTCGCGGCCCAATACCCGCACATCATTGACTTTATAATTTCTATGCTACATGACTTCTTAGCTGCGTACCCGGGATTTCGTGTTGGTGTTTTTTTTATGCCAAAAACGATATTTACGCGGTTTTATGAAGCTTATGAGCGAGCAACAACCAATACAACTGACTGTCATACTGTATGCAGTTCACATTATGTACTGCTTTCAGCGTTATTACTTTGGGCACGTAACCTACATTTTGGAATTAACGCAAATGCTTGATCTCAGTTTCAAGTTCGTGCGGTTTGTGGTTGAACTGACTTCAAATAATCGACTCTAAAGACAAGAAAATAACAAGAGACAATTCAGGGACAGAACTGATTCCACCGTCATGATGTCTATTCCAGAATTGACTGGCTAAATTGGAATAACAATAATGCGTAATCAAAGCTGCTGCAATTTATGATGCAGTTTTCTAACAATCAAACCGTTTGTTTTGATCTACTTACCAAGTTGCACGAAAGCAATCAGTACGAAGATTACCACGTTCGTTAGTTTCGACATCTTCGGTCGGGACAGAACTTTACACAACGTACCCACGGTAAAGCAGCTTAAAGTTGGCAAGTGATTCTGTGAACTTCGCGAAGCTTCAGCGTGTGGCCCTGATATGCTTACCACAGTATATTGTTCGTCGTCTCGCTCCTTTGGATTCCTGGTATGAGTTCCGCCCTAACGTTTCAGTAGTTGTCATAACAATGACGCAGACATATTTCATAATAGCCACTCAACAATTAAACCCCATGTACGTGCGTTGTTTTTCAATTCAAGAGCCGTGAAACAGTTCAGAGTCGAATATTACGGATCCGTTGTAAAATTACTTGATTACCAATGATATAACTTCCCACTTAGTAGTTGCTGACCGTAAAATACTCTTCAGATAAGTGTAAATGTTACCTCAATAGTGCAAGCAAAAAAAATAACTTGCTATTAAATCAAAATAAAAGAAAAGTCACCGAACAAGCGATGGACGCGTTCTCATATTTTTATGATGTTCCAAATAAATATAACTGACCCCGATCTCCCTAAACATGTCCTTGCTATTTACCCCCCTGCCCCCGAAAATGGAATTTGCACAAGCGTCCCCCCCCTCCGCCTTTGAATTAACAGAATGGCGCAAACAAAGAAAGTGGTGTTAAGGAAAGACTAACGCCACTCTGATGTACTTAAATTTCACAATTTTAAATTTCAGGAGACTTACTTATAAAATGTTTAAGCAAGCAACCGGAACGATGATCCTGCTGGTATACGTTGGATCTATAGTGATCTAATCGGCTTTACTTATAAAGGCTTTGGTATGGAGTCAAGATTAACTGCTTAATCCTCAAGCTGGTTCCATAGCTATATAGATTAAGTAGTATGTGTGATTGCACACATTGAAAATGTTTGCCCCGGGATGTTTGCTTTCCCTCCAAAGAAATTTTCCTTGAGACCTCCTTCCCGCGAAAAAACGTGACTCTCACCATGTTTGCCATCTGAACGATTCACTTCTTGGCTGTTACATGGGTGATAAACTTCAACGCTTCGGCTGTGGCTTCGGCTGTATCAGTTGTTTCGAAAATTCCCATAAAACCATGGATCTTTGTTACGCCGCTCAATTATATTTCTTTAGTATTCAAAGAAAGACATTTCTTTCGTTCTCTCTCAGACTAGTGGAAGCGAAAACAATTAGGGTGCTCCAATTTTGCTGACGAAATTAACGCTTTATCCTGAACATAAGCCACTGAGGAAATTGTTTATTGTGACAGCTCAGAAACCGTGATGTACAAACCTGAGACAAAACTGTTTATAGAAAAATTGCGTTTATTCATGTCAATGATATCTACGATAAACATTTTACACACTAGACCAAAGCTACGGGTGTGGGATTCAACAGCAAGAATGCAGATATATATTTAATATGATGGATGATGAATGTGGATGCTTAACCAATCATTCATCCTACGCAGTTTACTTAGTGATGTATTACGTAGATTCTAAGACGGATCTCAAAATAAGTCAAGGCCTTGTTTCTGCCGTAACCACGTCCCACGGCTCCTAGCTTCAAAAGTTTTGTTTTCACTTAAAATTATAAGGAATGCTTGTTCCTGACTGTAGACCCTTGAAAGGAAACTGAGAACGTCCCAGGGTGAAGGGTGCATTAAAAACCATTTTGATTGCCTCTAAGCTTGAAATAGCTTATCATTTGCAGATAGCAGTCCTCTGTTACAGATTATCAAGTAGCCAATCACGTCGAGCATTTTTGTCATGAGTACACTTCATTGGCTCGATTTTTCAAGAAGACGCATGCGCTTTCAAAATAGCCTTGTTAGCTAGTGTGGTAGTAAAAAAAAGTATATAAATTCGAGTACTCTACAAAGATTTACACTTGGCCTTGCTTTGAAGCTATCACCTACAATAAAAACTTGGCAGTTTATTTGATTATCTGACTGTAAAAAAGATATATGTGTATCATTACAAAATAAGAAAAGAAAAGTTTTATGCCTACTTTGCCGTTAAAACTAAACAGGCACAAAGTACCCCATTTCTTTACATGAAAAAAATAGCCGTAAATACGCTTGCAAACATTATCGCAACACTGACAGTAAACAACGAGCCCGCATTACACAAATCGTTTTCACAGCACAAGTTTTGACAAGTATCATCACTGCCGCATTGCTGCATGAAGAAGTCCTTGTCTTTTTCGCAAGCAGCGGTCGCCCGGCACCCTTTTCGGTACACCATGACTTTCTTGTCTCCCATGAGCAGCTCTGAAGTAAACTTGGCGCATCTCTCTTCCTCGCTGCTTTTGCAAGTCACTGCGTGACTGTTCTGAATGCAATGGTCCATAGACTCGGCACTCTGACACTCGAAGCACCGCAAGTTATTGACTGCGAACCAAATTGAAAGATCATGTGTTAATAACTGTAAAGGTCTGAGACAACCTCCCTTCCATTCCGAAAATGAGCTCTTAGCTTCAGTAGGAATAAGATAAGCAAATTACGCATGTCGTAAAAACTAGGATTTTTAATCTTTTTAAAAAAAACATGACATTTCATGTGCTTCAATACGCGTCTCCGGAAGTGACCGTTAAGATAAATTGCAAGCAAATTAGAAGTAAAGGGATATACTAGTACCTAATCAAGAACATTAAATAATAAATTGAACAATAATTGTATAAGGAACAAAACATTAAGTTAAAATAATGAACTCAACAATTTTAGCTTGCTTAAATCTTGAACGTTAGGACTGTTCCTGTAATCAGCACTAGTAGCACTCCCTCCAAAATGAGTTTACATACATATCTACAGTCATCTCTTCCATTATATTACGATGAAATCTCAGCCAAAAATACCCTCCCCTACTCATCAGCAATATCCCTTTAGGTAATTTACACTCGATTTCCTCCTCTCAGGCAGTCATTATCAGATTTGTAAATTAAGATTAACATTTACAAATCGATCGGGATGTACTACTAGATTCTCTTAACTGCGTCAATAGAAATGTATCACACTCAGTAAAGGGAGTTACTATTTCGATCTTAGAATCAAACTTGATTCAAGTTGACTGTACCTTTTGCTGGCGGTGTATTACATTCGTTTGTTTTGCAGAATTTGGTCTCACAAGTTGTCCTAACATTCTTTTCAGCGTCTTTACATGTATTCTCGGCTGATTTGTAATCGTTGTCAGTTCCACATCCTAGAACCACATTTGTCTCGCCATCCTTCGTGATCATCAAGCTGTTACACCTGTCTTGTCCGTCAAGGCAAGCAGTTGACTTCGCTGTTACGCTGTTGCAATCCTTGACGCTGCCGGAGCACGTATAACACTGCAAAGACACACCTGCAGATGGTTGGCAGTGACTGACCGTTAGTAACCGTCCCCGACAATCAACTGGTTTCGTAACTCACTTCCACACTCGCGCACATCAGCACCCCTAAACTACAGCATTGTTTTCTTATTTCTTTAGATGCAGGTATCAGTCGGACATGACAAGGGCTTGAAGGAGTTGGGGGAGGGGTGGGGGGGGGGGTAAATACGCAAGTATATCACTGAGGGTATGCGACAAGTATGATGCGGCGACTCAAGAGGAGGCAAACCAAAGTTGAAATGAAACGTCCAGAAAGTTTCCACTAACACGCATATGCAGCAGACATAACTACACCATACCTTGCTTGTTCCAGTGTTTTCATTCTCACAACCAGTAATGTTTCACGCGTGCCTTCACACCGAATCCTTTTTATCTCAAACATGATTACTTTTGTTGCTCAGTTTTGCTCTGATCGACAAAACTCGATCGAGTTTGCCTCTAAGACAACCTATTTTGATGGTTTTGCCGTCGATTATAAGATCATGCTTTCTTCTTTCGATGTAATCGTTTCCAAATTAATCATGATACGAAATAAATGCATAAGCTTTTGTTATGAATAGTTTGTATTCAAATTTTGCCATTTCGCACTTTAATTTTGCCAAGAGAGCTAGAACTGTTGTGCTGCTGCGTGTTAGCGAAGAGTCCCCAAAGGTACCAACGCACGATCTTAGGAAGACTAGAAAGTGTAATCATCATTCATTGAAAAATGCTCCTTGCGAGCAGTTTGATTTGCGTGCCATTGGTCACTGTTAAAACCATTAAGATCATTTTGTTTACTTGATACTTACCTAGCTTTGAACAGTGAACCAGCATCAAAACAGTTAAAAGTATCCGCTTCGCCACCATTTTGAATGTATTCCGATCAAAAGAACGAGCGCTAATCGACTGTTCAGCTAAAAACTGTGAAGATTGTGGCAAGCTCTTGGGTTCTTGTGGTCGACAGTGACGCAGCGTAAATTCACACCGGCTGGATGATTACGATGCGGCGATTTTTGAATGCTCAATATCTGCCTCGTTGTTCTTGTTCACGACCGTGCAATAACAGTACGTGTGGGCGTACTTTCTAATCTTCCGCGATGTCAATTGATTGACAGGTTTACTGAATCGAGTTACTAAAAACTAAGGCTCAAACACTACTTTCCATAGCATATCGCGAAAAAGAAAACACAGGTTTTTATTTTTAAATATCAATCTTTGGGGATCAATTGGGAAATCAAAGAACTTGATGCTTATTTCCTGGCATTCATCCATCTTTCTTCCTGATGTTTTGAGAAGTTTAGACATTATTGATTCGGAAAGAGGAAAACGTGGTTGTGTTCCGCAAAACGATTTTGACAAGTTGGGAAATTACTTTGAGATAATTTATCTCAAGTACATGAGTATGCATAGTATGAATTGTTCATCAACAAGTAGTTTTCCAATCGAAGGTCGTTGACGCAGTGAAGAAATGACATTAAAAACATCTTTCTTTATACCTGAGAAGGTTATTTTTGGAAAACGTTTGTCTAATCGTTCTGTTATTCAAAGTATAGTAAGAGCTGGTAGTGTTATTAATTTACACAGCTTTTTGCGTTAGTTTCCGTGATGACAGCCAGATCACTTATCAAGACTTCTTCCCATTGGCAAAACTCTGTCATCTTCAAATCTGTATAAAATTTCCCCACCGGTGTTACACAGATCCATTCATCAACGGGATGAGAACAACATCGAAGCGTATTTACATGTATACATTCCATCATTTGAGATGTCAGGCCGTAAATGTTAAATTTGTGTCCAAAGTCCGCGTCCACATTACGCCGAAGAAATTTGAAAACGGTGTCTTCGGAATTCTGAAAACACATCAAATGTTTTCCTTCGAATTCCACTCTACCCCGAAAAATCTGAAAACGCGACAATCACCGTGCATTTTAGCAGTTTACGTTTGAGGAAGACTCGGGAGGGGAAACGACATGATTATCGTAACGTCATTTTTTTTTTTTTCGAAAAGTCCCGTTTTCAAAATGTTTTCCATCCACACTAAAACGCAAAGCTGGCGTTTTCAAATTCTTCGGTTTGAAGAGCGTTTTCGAAAAGCTCCGATCCGTTGTCGTGACGGATTAGTGTGGATGGTAGGCCTAACCGTAGAAATTGACTGAACTGCGGTTTCAAATTTCTCCGGCGTAGTGTGGACGGGACTAAGATATTTGAATGTTTGAATAGAATCGTCTAATTGACATGTTGAATCGTAAATTAAAATTCTTTTCCCTCAGCGACGTAAGATAAGTTATGTCAGTGGAGAATTGCAGGTATTCGATGTTCTCTTGGGTAGAATGGCGTCAAAGCCGCGCAAGGACAAATATTTGCTCAAACTCTTACGTAAAAAGAACCTTCGCTCTTCTTCTACATTCAACCGTTATCGCTGAGCAAGAAATATTTTCTCAGTAACACGTTAACAAGGGAATGTTTCTGACCCGGCCATGATTACTTCTTATCTTCCTGTGTCGCGGCTAAAGCTTACTTGAGAAGGCCATCCGAGGCGTTCCGAAGACCGAAGTATCGTCCGAAAATATTTTTAATAAGTTTACCGGGCTAAAACGGTACTTTCAAGTTTTTCCTCCCTTCAGTTACATACCCTCTCTCAAATTTACAAAGTGTTAAATGTTATTCGCTTGTTTATAATACCACATTGTCTACTCACTCGAAGAGTCTCTCGTTTACTATGTTTTATTAAAACATCCGTGAATAAAACCGATATCAGGCATATCTTTTATCAATCGAATCGAGTAACGTAAGCAACAGGCCCATCACAGCTGTGGATGAAACTACTGATGTCAATCAGCAAGACTGTAATAAAAAAGAAAATAGGTAAATTCGCGCGTACACTTATTCTCATATCATGCAGCCCTCAACAATATTATTGTAATGATTCCTTCCGCAACGCAGACTAAATAGCACAACATTTTCGTCGCTTACTTATACCATTTTTTCAGCAGCAGATAAATGGGTAGCGACCACAGTTTGTAAGTCACATGGGTTCCAGTTGCGAAGCGCTACCATATTTCTTTTCAGAGGTTACTAATCTTACATCTAACAAAGAAACAAAGTTTCAGAATGTTCCACTTACTGCGATCATTTCCAAAGAAAGGTTACTCTATAAAGGCATGATCCTCTCATTTTATGCTCGCATGTGAAGTGGGAAAGGCGGCTAAATTAAGCAGTTTAAAAATAACTGGCAGAAGGAGACCATCTTGCGCAAATTACATGCACAATATGTAAATTTTCCTTGGCTTGGACCGGAAATTTTACAGAAGCAGCGTTAACCATCTTTAATAATCTGCAACATTTTCATCTGCCTCAGACTTTCGACCATCAAACAGCCGGGTAGCGATTAAATCGATGCCGTGAATTATTTTTCCCGCTGATGATGAAGTATTTTTCCTTTATTTATTTGTTGCTGTTTGCAATACCAGTTACCTTTGGTGAGTAGCGATGTTCGAGTGATCCTATCTGCTGCTTTTTTTTTTATTGAAACTGAATAAGCATGCTGTTTTGTAAGTTATCCACGCCCCGCTTTCTTTTTCTGTTAGTGAATGAGCTCTTTTTGTAAATTTACCTTGAAGTACCAGAGCGCTGAATTTTTCAGAGAAAGCCTAGTTTTCCAGTAGAACCAGTAATTCTTAACTTGCTCTGAGGTTCATTAAAAAAACGAACAGAGAAAAACAAAAACAAAAACAAAAAATAGAACAAAACGAGGATCGATTGTTAAGGAGACAGGACAAAGATTTGAGTACGTTCTAGTGGATTTTGTTTGATCTGATGGCTCTTTTAACACCTTTTTCTCCAATATTCACCTCTCGCAAACAGGACAGGAACTTTTACCTAAAATAAAACGAATCTATTCGTCTCAGTTTAGCTCTACGCGCGGCAGACACATGCTCGAGCGTTGACTATTTTTTATTTTTTCGCATGGCGTGCAGTAATATTCAGCACTTGTCCGAATGTTTTACCCGTCTGGTTAGAAAATACCAATATTGTGGCTGAGTGATTAGGACATGCCTTGCTAAACCTAAGGACGGTAGGTTACTGATACACGAGTTTAATTTGCAAGAGTGATTATGCATACGTTGACTGACAAAGCTTGCTTATCGTCTGGTACTTCCACCTTCCTAAAAAGGTGGAGATTTGCATACTGTCTTAATTTGACGTTTATTTTTACAGTTTTCTCAGAAGATTGTAAAATACACTTGTAGTGCATCAGTCAGTTCGTGCACGTTTGTCGAAAGTTCCGGAAGCTTTTTGGCTCCGCAAAGCCATTTTTCGTCAATATTTATGCTAAAACTTAGAGGTGTATACGTCTAAAACGTTTTGTATGAAGGAAACCTCTGTTTATATTAAGATTATGTGAATAAAACAGCCCTGTAATCATAAGGTTCGCTTTATAAATTTGAGTCATGTTAGCAAGTGCAATATTTGATTCTATATCGAGCTTCTTCAATTTTCATACTATAATAACCAGCCCGACACCTATATAAACAATGTGCTCATGTATTTTAAATTGGCGTCTCTTGGAGTGATAGTGGCCATTTTTGCCTAATTCAGTATTCACAGCTTCCAGGTTACGATGGAGAGTTTTGAATGATTTGTAAAATGTATCCTTTTTACTTTGTTTTTGTTTACCTTGATTATCAGCGAAATATGGGGAAGGAAACTGCTACCAGTGTGACGGAAATAACGAAGAGTGTAGCCTGGCTACCATGCACGCGGACATAGAAAGATTCACTGTGAAATGCGCTCGAGGCTACAGCTGGTGCTTAACAATTACCTTGGAGCAGGATGGGAGAAAGATAATAGCAAAACGGTGCGCAAACGACAGCATCTGCGAAAAAGAAAAAAAGTATTGTAACCAAAAGGGGACCAAAACTGTCGGAAGCCGAACAGCCGAGACGTGTAATGTCTGGTGCTGCAAGGGGTACATGTGTAATAGTGTTTCACGCCACCCTCCTGCCGTACAACTTGTCATCATGGTGTTGGGATTTACATTTGTCGCCTTGAAATAGAACTGTTTTCGTGTGACTGTTGAATTTAGTTGTTTGCTTTCATTTTGTATTTATGGAACCGTGTAAAAGGTTTAAAAGCTCTTCCTCTGGCCAATATAACGGTAAAAGAGTTGTTCTTGTAACTAATTAAAACAACAACAAACAGTTCGTGACTTGGAAAATTTTTCCGCGCTTGTAATTGGGTAGTTGTAATCTTCACACAAGACATTTCTTAAACATACATGTGTTTCTCTCGGACTAATGACTACCTTATGAAGGCGAAGCCTTCATAAACACAACTAATGATATATTCTAGCTCTGAATCAACACATCTACATTCGCCAGCGAGCAAAACGTAAAAAAAACATGGCCGGCTTCAAAGGGATGCTGAATGGATATCTGTAGGGAGAAACTATAGTGATCTGGAGACAAACTCTGAGAAAAATAGTTTTAAAATTATTGACCATTAATTTTAAGGTTTTGCAAATGTAACGGATGGAAAAAAGTTTAAACTAACGGAAATCCTACGAAATACAGCTGGCATGCTTGCCTTCGGCTCAAATTGTAAGCCAAAGGCGCAGTCTTCGTTTTTGAAGTTTTCGTCAGGATTTCAGTCGTGTCTTGAGCAGTAAAAAACCCGCCGATAAGGTCTGAGTTTGAGACTGCCCTCGGGCGAAGGCTCCAGAGTCCGCGATCCTTTTGGTCAGCACGTAGAAATTGATACTGACTTAGTTCAGGAGAAATCGAATGCGAGGCAGCATTAGTCTCTCTTGTTTCGTCCAGAACCGTTGAGCATTGTGCGCGGGCATTGGAAATGAGATTAAGGCATATTGTTTTTCAACCAGTTAGCAACCGCTACTGTGAACTTGCGCATGCTCGTATCCAGGCACCGCCACATACATGCCGACCTCACCCGGGCCTCAAAAAGGTTCAGCTGCTCCCACATGTTGTCATCATAAAAGAATAACGTATCAGTCATCTTATCGGATCGTCTACGCACATTATTATACAATGAACTCACTATTTCTCAGTTCGCGCTCTGTGTTGCTTGCCGTCACTGAAGAAGTAAAAACATGACTTCCATTTTTTTTTCGTTCAATGTATAATACAACAATTATTAGATTTGGTTTTCATGATATCCAGAATAATCAAGGTCTCGGTAAGATCTTGATTATGCTGGATATCACAAAAACCTCATCTCTCTATCAGCTTTGATATTCTTCACCAGTGTGCAATCCAGGAGCAATCTGACAGGAACGGTCATCACTTTGCGTTAAAGCAGCCTCGTGACAATGAAAAAAATATATTGGTCTATCCTTTCGCTGTGACTCAGATAACTTGTTTCTCATCCGATCAAAAACCCGAAGGACTGTCGCAGAAGTTTCAAAAGTTCTTAGCGCAGATCCTTAAGGTGATTCATCACATTTGCATTGCGCATCCTTACTGCGCATAATTTATAGCGTCATTAGTAGGGGCTGACACATTATGCCGGCATAATTTCGAGCATAATACTATATGTGGAGCATCGAGCATAATGCCGGCATAATAGTGCATTTTGCCGGCATA